CGGTCAGATGTATGTCTTTAATGTATGGACCAAATTGTGCCCCCACCCACCCAAATTTGTATGTTGAAGCCCTAAACCCTAGGGTGCCTTTATTTTGGAGCTAAAGCTTAAAAGGGGGGTGATTAAGGTTAAATGAGGTCATATGGGTTGAGCTTTAATCCCGATGTCATTATAAAAGAGACACCAGGAATTCCCTGGCAGTCTAGTGGTTAGGACTCTGTTTCCACTGAAGGGGGTATGAGTTCAATTCCTAGTTGCAGAACTAAGATCTTGCATGCTGCACAGCATGGTTAAAAAAGGAGAGATACCAATGTATACACACAAAGAAAAAGGGCTTTTGAGGACCCTGAGAGAAGGCAGCTATCTTCAAGCCAGGCAGATGGAACTCATCAGAAACCAACACTGTTGGCACCTTGATCTTGGAATTCCAGCCTCCAGAACTGTGAGAAAATAAATTTTGTTTTTGTTTTTCAGCCACACAGCTTATGGGATCTGTTTCCTAACCAGGGACCAAACCTGAGTCACAGCAGTGAAAGTGCTGAATCTCAACCACTAGACCACCAGCGAACTCCCAAACTTCTGTTAAGCCTGTGGTATTATGATTTGGCAGCCCTAGCACAGATACAAATGACATTCTCCAAATTTTCAGAATCTACTTCCAAAGCTTAATACTTGCTCTAACATACTTACACTTTTTAAAAAATCTTGTTTTCTCTATTTGCAGAGAGCAGGGGCTACTCTCTAGCTGTGGTGCATGGGCTTGTTGTGGTGGCGTCTCTTCTAGCAGAGCACAAGCTCTAGGGCATGTGGTCTTCAGCAGCTGCAGCCTGCGGGCTCCAGAGCACCGGCTCAATAGCTGGGCCACACAGGCCCAGCTGCCCACAGCATGTGGGGTTCTTCTGGACCAGAGATTGAACTTGTGTCCCCTGCATTGCAAAGCAGATTCTTAAAACTAGCGGACCACCAGGGACACTGCTTTTTCTTCTTAAAAACATTTATTGATTTATTTATTTGGCTGCACTGGTTCTTAGTTGCAGCACACAGGATCTTTTAATATTCGTTGTGGCATGCTGGATCTTTAGTTGCAGCATGCAAACTGTTAGTTGCATATGCGGTCTAGTTCCCTGACCAGGGATCAAATCTGGACCCCCTGAATTGGGAGCTCAGAAGCTTAGCCACTGGACCATCAGGGAAGTCCCACTAACATGATATTTTTAGAATTAAAATGCTGGGCAGAAAGCTAGTCATGAGTAAAAGCATGACCACCACTGTGGAGAGCCAAAGCTGGCACAGAATCATCATCACTTTTGTTTTGAATGAACTTTCCAAACTTAGGAAAATGATGTGAAATTGGGCCAAATGAACTTGCCTTTTCAAAACACAAAGATGGACTCCACTTGCTGCTAAGGACAAGCGCCCTGGCATCTGAACAAACAGGAGAAACTGCACTGGTAGCTAGCAAAACTTAGGAAAGAATGGCTAGGCTTAAACCATTTCCCCAAGTACTATGATTATAAAAATGACTGTAATAAGACCTAATCTTACTAAACTCTTATAAGCCTGCAAGTTGCTTCCATTTTCAGATCATAAAACAGAAGCACAGGAAGGTGCTTATCCATAACTTATCCATAGTCATATAACTGCTATATAGTAAAATCAGATTTGAACATAGGTCTGAATACAAACCCACCCTATTGCTACATTGTATTACCTTCCATCAGCTGATGAGTAAATGTAATAAAAAAAAAAATGCTAGGACATCCTAACATAATATCCTTCTTGAGGGGATACAATTGGAATTTCACATCATCTATATAGTACTCCCTTATCCATGCGGAATTCATTCCAGGACCCCTAGTGGATGCCTAAAACTGTGGATAGTACCAAACCTTATAAAAACTATGTTTTTTCCTATACATACCTATGATAAAGTTTAATTTATAAATTAGGCACAGTAACAATAACAACTTAAGTTATGTGAACATGGTCTCTCTCTCACTTAAAATATCTTATCCTATTAATTTAATGCCTTTTCCATCATAACTAAGCACTAATCTCTCACTGTGGCTTAAACTCTTGCAGTTTGAGGTTCAACATCAAAACTAGCACACAATTTTTTTTCCTTCTTCACAATATCACGGACTAAAGAGTTCTTAGTCTAGATCTTAGCTACCTCAGCACAGGATGTTTTTTTCTTTTCTTAAAAGGAAGCACTTCATAGGATCTCTTTGGCATATGCAAACTGGCAGTATTACTACTCTTGCACTTTGGGGATATTATTATAAGTAAAATTTCTTGAACACAGGCACCATGATACCATGACCATCAATCTGACAACTAAGACAGCTTCTAAGTGACTAGTGGGATGGAGAGGGAAGGTGAGAGATCTCATTACATTACTCAGAGCAGTGTTCAATGTAAAACTTATGTTATTTCTGAAATGTTCCATTAAATATTTTCAGACTGTGGTCGACAATGAGTAACAAACTGCAGAAAGCAAAACTGCATATACAGGGCGGGGTGGGGGACACTACTGCATTGTCAAAAATGTTTAACTGGATTTAAAAAAGAAAAATACTTAATTGGCTGCATCTGGTCTTAGTAGCAGCACGTGGGATCTTTTGCTGTGGCCCATGAGTCTATGGGGCTCAATGTAGTTTAGTTGCTCCATGGCATGCTAGATCTTAACTCCCCAACCAAGTACCGAACCCACGTCCCTTGCACTGATTACAAAGTAGATTCTTAACCACTGGACCACTAGGGAAGTCCTGTTTAACTAGATTTTAATGAACAACCAGGAAGATGCAGATGCAGAACATTCTATTCCACCCCAACTGGCCTGGACTCTTCAGAAAAATGAATTGTATGTATTTTATGCCAAAGTTCTTGAAGCATATTAATGGTACTGTGGTTACTTAGGAGGAGAAATTTTTCTTTCTTAGATGTTGCTTAAGTATTCAGGGTTAAAATGTCATGTCTGCAACTCACTTTCAAATGACTGAGGGAAAAGTGTACATAAACTAGGACAAAACAAATGTAGCAAACCATTAACTGCTTTGAAAATTTTCAAAACAGAAAGTAGATAAAGATAAGAAAAGTAGATAAGATAAAGCTAGAGATCCCATTCTGTTAGGATAGAAGCCCTACCTATCATCAAGTTGTGTCTCTCCTATTCTGCTGCTGCTAAGTTGCTTCAGTTGTGTCCAACTCTGTGCGACCCCATAGACGGAAGCCCACCAGGCTCCCTTATCCCTGGGATTCTCCAGGCAAGAACATTGGAGTGGGTTGCCATTTCCTTCCCCAGTGCATGAAAGTGAAAAGTGAAAGGGAAGTCGCTCAGTCATGTCCGACTCTTAGTGATCCCATGGACTGCAGCCCACCAGGCTCCACCGTCTGTGAGATTTTCCAGGCAAGAGTACTGGAGTGGGGTGCCATTGCCTTCTCCCTCTCCTATTCTAGCACCATCTAAAGAAGACGACCATAAATACTGTTAGTTTATTTCACATCTCTACTTCTTAAAAAAGGGGGAAAGAAGGATCTTGTAGGGAATCAGACTTTCATAAAAGGTCATTTGTATTAAACCTTATCAAAACTGATTGTACTTTTTTCCTTTTTTTGGCTGCACTGCACAGCATGCAGGATCTTAGATCCTGGACTGAGCAGACCGGAGATTGAATCTGTGTCCCCTGCAGTGGAAGCACAGAGTCTTAACCACTGGACCACCAGGGAAGTTCCCCCAAACTGATTTTACTAACATTTCCTTACATAGCTTTAGGAGAGACGACATCAAAATTTCAACCTAATATTAATCTAGTTCACCTGATGGAGCAGTCAAACTGGCTGTACTAGAAGTCGCTCAAACCTAGAACCTCTTTATCCAGCAGCTGGCTTCCAGTATTATGGGGCATCTAAAGTAAGACAAAGCTTCCCTGGTGGTTCAGTGGTAAAGAATCTGCCTGCCAATGCAGGACACTCAGGTTTGATCCCTGGGTCAGGAAGATCCCCTGGAGAAGGCGATGGCAACCCACTCCAGTATTCTGGCCTAGGAAATCCCATGGACAGAGGGGCCTGGTGAACTACAGTCCACGGTGTCGCAGAGAGTCAGACACGACTCAGTGACCAAACAACAACAACAAAGACAGACAGGCTTGTGCATTGTATTCTCAAGAAGTAAACCCATTTACTCAGTTCTTTAAGCAGAAAGCCTCCAAATCTACCACAGCAAATTCTTTGATGTCCAAGGCTAATACTGTACTGCTAGGGAAGAAGAGGTAGGGAAGATGAGAAGCACTAAGGGGCTGGCTTCTACAGAGCACATCCTAAAGATTATCTCAATGACTACTTTAAAAACTTTATTTCACCCATTCTTGGGAAGGCACACAATTTGGTCTGTACCCACAGACAGCCAACCCTCTAAGCCCAGAGTACTTGCTGGCCCTGTCAACAAGAAAATTCTACACTGGACTTCCCTGGTGGTTCAGTGGTTAAGAATCTACTTGCAGGGCAGGGGCCACAGGTTCGACCCCTGGTCTGGGACGACCCCACACTGTGTGGGGGCAGTTAAGCCCGTGCACCACAACCACTGAGCCAGCATGCTGCAACTACTAAGGCCTGAGCTCCTAAGGCCGGAGTGCCTAAGGCCTGAGCGCCCAAGGCTGGAGCACCTAACGCCGGAGCTCCTAAAGCCTGAGCTCCACAACAAGAGAAAAGCCTCTGCTTGCTGCAACTAGAGAAACCCCGCACACAGCAATGAAGGCCTTGCATACCCAAGTAAATAATTTTTTAAAAAATTCTATATAAAATTACTTTAAAAAAAATTCTAGCTAACTTACCAGCAAGTGCACCCAAATATGTGAATGTAGCTGACTCATGCTGGATGGTTTCCAGAGAACTGAAGCAGTTCTCTCAGCACATAATGTGGCAACCAAACAGTGAAACCAATGACCCTATAGTAGTTTTCCCCCCCCTTGCCTTTCAATGCAAACACATGAAATACCTAATTTCAGTTCAAACTCATTTCCCTTTTATTAAAGTCCAAGTTACATTACATGGTTTGGTACTCAACAAAGGAAAACTTGTTCGAATAAGGTAATATGTTATCATCAGTATTTCCAGGTGACTGTTTACAATCAAGTAGCATTATCAATAAGTCCTTGGGAAGCCCATCTGTAAAAGAAAACATGAAAAATTAGCTGGAAAATAAAGACAGAAATCTTACTAAAAATAACCTCTAGAGCAACAGCCCAAGGAACTCTCTGTGTAGTCTCTTCTGCTCTTTCTTAATCCTGCCTGAAATCAACACACCAGATACTAGCTGTTTGGCTTTTTTTTGTTGTTATCCACCTGGTAATTATTGAGGTAGTATTCTTTTCTAATCAGAAAAGTACTGGGGAGCTGCCCTCTTAAGAATTTTTAAGTAAAAGAAATACAGTGTTCCTACAGCTAGAAAATATCCTATATAACAAAGATCTTCTGGACTCCTTGGAATAATACTTGATAAATGAAAGCCTTTTCACATTTCACAAAGACTTGCTATCTGGCTTCAGGGAGGAAGAAGAGATGGTGGTGATACAGAGATGGACAAAGATAAAATTAAGACTCTTCTTTCAAAGCAAGCTGTAAAAAGAGATCTCAAAATTGAATTCAAAACCTCAGGCATTTTCTGCTCAGTTTGTGGTAGGAAAATTGAATGTAGGTATTCTTTGAGTTTAAGAATTTTAGAGTGTGAAATTAGGTGTTCACTAATGGTATCCTAACCATGCTCACTGGTTCTTTATCTTGTGAGGATCTGATATTAGCTCTTTAAATAATTTTGGGTCCACCTTTATTGAAACTTTTATAAGATAGCTTAGTCCCACCTTTTAAAAATAATCTTCTTCTTACTCTTAGGAAACAAACCTTCTGTTCAAGCCTCATTATTTACCTCTGAGAAGTAAGACTGTGGCCTTAGTAAATGCTTTAGTACTGCAATGTGTACAAAGGAGTGTGGCATAGTAAAAACTATGGACCCTGGAGCCAGACTGCCTTGGTTTAAATGTGGGTTCCTCTACTAGTTGTATGACTTTGGACAAGGTGCCTTGTTTTCCTCATCAGTAAAATAGTAAAATGGGAATAAGTGTAATAATAGTAAGTACTTCACAGGACTGTTCATGAGGATTAAATGAGTTTATAAAGCACATAAAACAGTACCTCACACATAATAAGAGTTATATACACTATATGTGTTTGTTAAATAAAATAAACATAAAGAGTTATTACTTATGTATTTTTTTGTTTTACAAAGCATTTTCTGCATACTGCTCACTACCCGGCAATCTTGTGGCTGGTTTTATTACCTAGTCTGAATTTTCCACAAGGTATCAAGTTTGTATTATCAATGAATATTACCTATTATATTTCAACTTGGGCATACAAAAACAGAAGCACAAATTAATAAAACCCTGCCGTTAAAAATAAAGATGTATAAAAGCATGCATGATGAATACCTGGTATGTAGTAGATTACCTTAATTGAGGAGAGGTTAAAGAGCTGGAATTAGGAAAAAGGCACAGAGAGGGCTTCAACTCTATGTGAAACCTCTCATTTCTTGGGGGAGAGGGAGAAACTAAAGCAAATATGGCAAAAATAATACCTCAAAATTTGGGTATGGTTACATTTATTCCCTAGGCTATTCTTTACCCTTGAAATATTTTATATTATATAGATTTTAAAGTAAGGTTTTCTTAACTTGCCTTTACACCAATAAAAGAACAATTATAACAACCAGAAACAACAATTCTAGCTCTTTAATCATCACAGGTACTCTCTAAGCTCACAGCCTCTAACAAAGCCATGAAAAGGTCTTTCTCTGAGAATACTGTAATGCCACTTACTCACCCCTCCCTGGATCCTTTCTCTCCTTATTCAGGTATACCTTACCCATGGGGTTTACACTTTGTCGAGGCCCAGTTCCTCTGGAGTGGAGATTCCCAGTTCATTCAAAGTTGGTCTAAGTTCCTGGATGACATAGGGGTAGATTTCCTTATGAGGTCCTGCTTTGTCCTNGTTTACACTTTGTCGAGGCCCAGTTCCTCTGGAGTGGAGATTCCCAGTTCATTCAAAGTTGGTCTAAGTTCCTGGATGACATAGGGGTAGATTTCCTTATGAGGTCCTGCTTTGTCCTGATGGCAAAGAAAATACAATTAGCTCTGAAAAGCTGTCTCTATCAACAAAATGAAGCTGAAAATGCTTTCAGTCACATGCAGAGGCTAGCAGCAGAGAATACAAGTCACCTACTTTTAAGTTAACATATTCGTTCAAAAGAGAGAGCAACTTACATAGGCACTATTCAAGGTAGTCTGTTAAGACACCTGAAGACTAAGACTACTAAATCCAGGGAGAAAAAACATTTTAAAGCCTTGAGTTACTGGAAAAGAAGGTGGTGATGACAGAATTTTGTGATGGCAATTAAATGTGCCCAGCAGGCAACAGGAATAATTAAGTTAACACGAAAAAAGTTTCTTAATTTGCCTCAATTTGAGACCCTAACTGAATTAACTACTGGTGTTGAATGGATTGATAGCCCACAGAACCCTTAATTATCTTACCCATTTTAGATAAAGTATGGTCATACTTTCCCTCTTACAGACCTTGCATTTCTTTCCTATAGAATATAAAAGTCTTTTCGTGGAGAGCTACACATAGAGAACACTTATTTCCAAGGCAAGAGAGCTTTGAGGAATACTTAACATAATATACAATTATACCTATATTGTCACAACATTCTTCAGAGACAAATATTAGAAGGTCAAATAGACTAAGACAGTGTCAAGTTATTATATTATTCTTCTAACAAATTCTAGGTCTCCTTAAGTGTATTTTTTAAGTTATAAAATTCTTATTTAAAGTTCAATGCATTAAGTTGTTCATTATGGAAAAATTAAAAAACTATAATCAAATAAGAGGAAAGTATACATCTTTAGGCTTCCCTGGTGGCTCAGACGGTAAAGCGTCTGCTTACAATGCGGGAGACCCGGGTTCGACCCCTGGGTCGGGAAGATCCTCTGGAGAAGGAAATGGCAACCCACTCCAGTATTCTTGCCTGGAGAATCCCATGGACGGATGGAGCCTGGTAGGCTACTGTCTGTGGGGTCACAAAGAGTCGGACACGACTTCACTTTCACTTTCCTCTGGGAAGTCCCATTTTAAGAAGCCACTGGCGACACTTAATTTCATATCACAAGCAGCACAAAGATAAACTGCAATTCTTAATTATTTCCTTAAGATAAATTCTCAAATGGGATTGCTGAAATCCTAATAAAATAAATTCCTGAATAAATTCTCCCAAGTACTCTCCAAAGAGAACATAACCACAAGGTACATTCCCTCTAACTATATAAAAACTAATTTCAGGTATTTTAACAAATTCACAAGTACAGAATATGCTAATACCTAAGCAATAGTCCACCTACTTCCAGAATAACTTTAGCATTGTTATTTCACTGACCTTAACAACCTCTAGGATGCGAACTGCACTAGCAAAATCATTTAAACGTCTGCATGCCCGCAAAGCAGCATCAATGATTTTGGGTTCTGGAACCAGGTCATAGCCAACAAGTGTGTTCATCCCTGTCAAATTAAAAAGAGGGGTCATATCAATCTGGAATATCCTCATTTAAGTGACAATTTAGTTATCTATATTTTTTTATTGAACCATAGACATGTGATCTTGTCTGATCGGCTATTCTTTTTTTTTTTTGGCTCTACCATATGGCACGCAGAACTTCCCTTCCATGGATCAAACCTATGCCTCTTGCAGTGGAAGCGTGGAGTCTTAACCACTGGACCACCAAGTGTGTCCCTGGGCCTCTATTATTTCTAAAATGAGATAACTGGGAATTCCCTGGTGGTCCAATGGTTAGAACTTGGCATTTCCACTGCCAGGGCCTGGGTTTGATTCTTGATTGGAGAACAAAGGTCCTACAAGCCATGTAGTACAACCAAAAAAATAAAAACCTTGAAAGTGATCTTAAATGCAAACACTATTTTCAAAATTAGCTGGCTTCTTTTCGAACAAGACGGTCATTTTCAACTCACATCTTTAACTCTTAGTACAATGTATGTACTTTGACTGCTTTAAAATAGATCTGACTGAAAAAATAATCTAAAAACAAACAGGGAAATGCTTAAGGAGAAAGTAATGAAGCCCAAATGAGGACTTTAAGGTGATATAGAGAACCATTAGTGCAGAGTCATAAACACTCAACCAGAAAATACTGGGCATGATTACTTTTGGCTCTGCACAAAATGACACATCATAAAATTTAAGATTCTCTTAATGGGAATGCAAAACTGTTCTTTTCATTACCTCTACTCAAGATTATCCAGTAAGAATTTCCCTAGTTGCAGCAAAATGGAGTCATTACATACCTCTGGAGAAATATGAAGGACTTAGGTTTCTGGCTTTTATTAATTTTAAAATATTAATACAAAGGACACCAGTGACTGCAATGCTAGAATATAGTCAGAGAATGAATTCTTCATCTGAGATAAACCGCCTACACTTAAAATTATCTATCAGTCTACTAGCTTGGTTATAATTAATACTACTTACTCATGTTAAATGCACATTTACAAATTTAGGATAAACAAGTTCTAGCTTACTCTGATAGGACACTTACTCAGGACAAGACAGATACATCATAACCAAGAATAAAAATAACAAAAATCCCAAACTATTACCAAGAGGGGAAGAAAACCAAATGACTACTTATATAAATTATCTATTTATTAAAAGCTACACAATTGCTAAATCTTGCTCACCTTGGCCTATCTCTATAGCAGGGATGATTCCCTCAGGAGACATTTCTGGTTGTCACAATGGGGGGTTTGTGGGGGTTTCAGCATCTAGTGGGTAGAAACCAAGCTGCTAAAGTTCCTACAATGCAAAGGACAGCCCCTGCAACCAAGAACTGTCTGGCCCAAAACATCAATCGTGCCTCCTTCAAAACCCTGCTTTACAGGAAACACTTTCTCTGGAAACTATAAACTTTCCTAATTGCAAGATGCATGACAATACCCAGTCTACATGATACATGTTTTCAAAATACAGCTGACCCTCAAACATGGGTTTGAACTCTATGTGTCCACTTACACACATATTTTTTTCATAAATACTACATGATCTGAATCCATATATGGAGAACCTTGGACACAGAACTGTGGATCAGGAGGGCCAACTGTAAAGTTGTATATGGATTTTCTATGTGCAAGTGGGCGTCAATGTCCTTAACCCCCAAGTTTTTCAAGGGTTAACTGTAGTTACTCTTAACAGAGTAGTGGAAGACTGCACAGCAGTTCATAATTCTGTATTAAAATAGACACATATGCCCGTGTTCCAATTACCTTTACGCAACTCCCAAGCATCAATATCTGGCTTATTGAAGTATGTCACCCAGCGAGCATCAAACTCCTCGTCTGTCTCATGTGACCCATGGGAGTAGCAGCGAAGTGACTGGACAGCTACAGGGGAGGAAGAACAGTAACTTCAATGTACAGAAGTAGGACTTGACTGGTTTTTTCCTTTTTTGGGTGTATCTTAAAATACATACAACACAAAGTCTACTATCTTAACCATTTCTAAATGTACAGTTCAGTGGTATTACATTCACTCAATGCCTTAGGTGTTGAATCAGCTATGCATGTCATGGTAGAAAAATTATTCACCAGGTCAAATGAAACAAATCTTATGTACTGATTTGAAAAACCATCTTAAAAAACTAAGCACAGAGGGACTTCCTTGGCGGTCCAGTGGTTAAGGCTCTGAGCTCCCAGTGCAGGGGGCCTGGGTTTGATTCCTGGTCAGGGAACTAGATCCCACATGCCTCAACTAAGAACCCGCATGTTGTAATGAAGATCCTGCATACTGCAACTAAAACCCAGCGCAGCCACACACACACAAAAATTATCAAGCACAGAAAAGTAAAACAAAAAGTACTACAGATGTATGTTTATGCTTTTCTCACTTATGCGTAATGCTGGTGTGTAACTGTTAACAGTGGTTATCTTTGGAAAGAGAAATTTTCTTTATACATTTTTATGATAAACAGCATTAATTCCTAATTTAAAATAATGTTCATTCTTGGGAATGCCCTGGTGGTCCAATGCTTTGTGCTTCAACTGCCCAGGGCCTGGGTTCAAGCCCTGACTGGGGAACTAAGATCCTTTCAGTTGCACGGCCAAGAAGTAAGTAAAATGATGTCCATTCTATGTTTTTTTGGCTGTGCCATGTGGCATGTGGGATCTTAGTTTCCAGATCAGGGAGGAACCTGTGCCCCCTTCAGTGGAATCACAGAGCCCTAACCACTGGACTGCCAGGGAATTCCCTCCATTCTAGTTATTAAGCAAATTTCTAACATATATTTTCATAATTTAAAAAGTCACCACAATGATAAGCACATGCACCATAAGTGAAGAATAGCCCTCACTCACACAACTAGAAAAAGACCACTAGAAGCAATGAAGACCTAGCGCAGCTAATGATTAAAAAAAAAAAGTTCACTTACACTCAATGAAAAAAATTTTTATTAGATTTCTAAGAAGTGAGATTTTTAAACATAACACTATCAAGAAAACAGGACACCCTTAGCAGTCTGCTCCCAATCAATATACCCTTTTCAGTAACATATGAAAAGCCTTGCATTTTCAGTTTCTGCTTGTAACTGGACAGTGAATTGGGAGTTAAGAAATCTAAATTCCTTCTGAATAGCCTCTGAATGGGGTAGGAGGAATTTTTACCTTTGGGTTTTAGGAGGCAGTAGAGCCTAGTGGTCAGATACTTCTAGGCTCTTCACTCTCTTGTTGTTAATTAACTCAGGTTTTATATTCCTTATCTGTAAAATGCAGATACCACTACCTTAGCAGAGTATGATAATTAAAAATGAAAGCCACGTTAATGTTTTGTCTAGGGCTTAGTAACCTTGTAGGTATGTACTCAATGTTTTTTAAATTAATCCTTATCTAGAAGTGTCTTAATTGATCTTCTATTTATAGAAATCATAATTCACAGAAATAAAACATTCTTCAAATTGCACCTCTAATTATAAGAGCTTGGTATTAATTTCTAGTTATTTTAAAGGCTTAACATATCAAAAGGGAGAAGGCAATAGCACCCCACTCCAGATCTCTTGCCTGGAAAATCCCATGAACGGAGGAACCTGGCGGGCTGCAGTCCATGGAGTCGCTAAGAGTCAGACATGACTGAGCAACTTCACTTTCACTTTTCACTTTCATGCAGTGGAGAAGGAAATGGCAACCCACTCCAGTGTTCTTGCCTGGAGAATCCCAGGGATGGAGGAGCCTGGTGGGCTGCCGTCTATGGGGTCGCACAGAGTCGGACACAACTGAAGCGACTTAGCAGCAGCAGCAGCAACATATCAAAAACAACCTTTCAGCCCACCATCACCCCAAATTTGTAAACCATCTTTTTAAAAAACTACAGTTATCCTTAGCTGAATAAAGTGCAAGTAGATAAATGAAGTATAAACTGTTAAGCAGTTCCTTATCAAGTTAAATATACACCTACCAAACACAGTAATTCCACTTCTAAGTATTTACTCAAGAAAAATGAAGTATATAATTCTCTCCCTAGAGGCAACTATTAAGTGTACCTTCCCAATCATCCAGTAAATTGTTTCGTGATAACGAATTTCTTTTGCTCACTGCTGGGCATGGATTTCACTAGATGACTGTGGTTTTGTTTTCTAAGTGTGAAAAAGATGATCAACAAATGCAAATCCTAGTCAGGGAGATTAATGGATCACCTTCAATGATTTGTTTACCTTCCTTCTGAGAGTCCCAAATTACAAACTGGTATTAAAAAACAAAGACAGTGCCTGAGACAGCTATTTAGAAAACCAAGCAAGCACTGGGAACATACACAGATCCCAGGTTGAGGAAAATGCACTCTCCCAATGGTTTACATTATATTCCTTATTCCAGTCATAGGTAAAGCAGGATCTATTCTTCTAGTTACGGACATGTTTAACATTCTGATTTTTAGGTAAATTATATCCCTCACACCACCCCTATGTACAGCATTTCCACCTAGTTTTAGGCTTATATGATAAACTATTTGGAAAACAATTACTTGGTGTTTTTATATAAAGGTTCCAGAGTAGAAAAAGGGAAGCATCTGTAAAAAAAACTGAGACATTTCTAGGGCTACAATCTAAAAATCTATTTCTAATACTGCTTTTTGGCATTCTGTTAAACAAGTTTTTTTTTTTTTAAAGCAAACATATTTAGAAAAATTAAGTGGCTCATTAATTCCCTTCAGTAACTAAACAGCTCTGACAAAGCTCAAAGAACAGGCATTTTGGTGGTGGTGATTCTAAGGCATAATGGAAAGAACTGACTAATGTAAAGGGTACATAAACAAGCTCAAAGACAGCTATACAGAAGTACAAGGTTTAGGGGCCCAAAGGCTGGAAATCTATAAATGTGGGAGTGGTGCAGAAAAGGTTGGAAGGTAATAAAAAATGCTACTTAAATTTAGCCCTCCACCAAGAAAGAGAAAGTAGAAACTCCCCACCTTTTCATAGCCTATCAGGGTAAGGAATAGGGGTGAGGACTCTAACTTTTAAGGGTTGGCTGGAGAATCTAGCAATTTTTCAAAATATTTAATTATCTAATTCAGTAGTTATTGGAAAACAATTCTGTTACAAGGTGGAGGTAGGTGGAGGCTCAAAGTGGGACAAAATAGGAAGTTTGGGTTGCTACTTATTTACAGCAAACTTGAAGCTCCCCAGGTTAACCCCTCCAGAGCTCTTTCATTAGACCTCGGATAGCCTCATCCAAGAATCTTAAGCCTTTCTGACTTTTAATTGCATGAAATTTCTTCAGTCTCATAATGATAATAAACCTCACCTTTAATATGCAAAAATGAAAGGCACTGTAAAAATAAAGCAAATATGTTTCAAGCATTTGTACCAGGAAAGGTGCTGAGAGTTGACATTATCTCATTTAAACCTCACAACTATTAAACAGTATCCCAATTTTAGACTTAGGCAACTGAGTCTTAGGGTTTAACTAACATGTCCAAGGTCACACAGCTAGAAAGTAGTTGACATGAATGTAACCATGACTGCCTCCTTGCGGCAAATATTTAGGTTTATGGGACAACACCTAAAACAAAGTTTTTTGTATATGAATTATGCTTAAGAGGGCAACTAGAATGATTAGGAGATAAATCACTTTGTCTAACCTTAGCAAGAGTTTGAGTTCGTACGCTTAAATATTCCTGCTTAGGGGCCAAATTTCATAATGTAGCATATACCACCATCATGGGCCAAAATCAAAGTGCAGTTAAAATAATTAAAAGTGCTAGACACATAGTCTCCAGGAACAGACATAACCGGAAGGCAGAACAAGAGACAGGAATCAGCAGAACATCTTATACTCCGCAATCAGGCTTCTAACCGGAAGCAAAAACATAAAGCTTCCCCATACTTGCAGGACCCCCTATTTCTGGGTTTGTGATATCCAATTTTCGAAATAAGAGTCTTATCATAAGATCTATCAACTCAGTCCCTCTTCCAGGCCTCAGGAAATAACTACACACGTCGATCTATCGTAAAAGTGAAAGAATTAGAACGTGGCACTGCAGTCTCTAAAAATACCAGAGTGGTGGTGAAGTGACCACAAAACGCTAAACGAGATAGGTCTGATGAAAAGACTATAACTGTCGCACACGGAAGTATAACGTGTTCTTGGAAGACGCTAGAGGCGGCGGGGCCGGGGACCCCGGAGGGATCACCCCCGCCCCTACCCTGAGCTCAATGTCACCTTCGCCGAAGCGCTGCAGGCCGGCGGTGGCCACTCCTAGTCAGGTGGCCGCAGGGTCAGCGCCGGGGCACGGTCACGGCCTGGGGACCGAAGGGGTCCGGTGGGCGCGGGAGGTGCGCTGCGCCCCCTCCTTGGCGCCCACAGCAGGTCCACATTTGATCGCTCGGCGGTGCCCGCATCAGGAAGTCGCGTCGAGGGGGGCCCCGGGGGCGCGCCCTCGAGTCCTCCACAACTCGAGGCGACGGCGAGAACGGCCAGTGGTCACCAGGTTCGGCCTCCGGCCCGCAAGGCGGGAACTAGGCCTCTGGGAGAGCCTGCCATCGCGTGGCGGCGGGGGCCCAGGTCACCGCAAGGACACGCGGGCGCGGACAGCGGCAGGCGGGAGCCTTACCGGCGGCGGGACAGGGGGCCGGAGTTGGGTGCAGGAGGCTTCGAGGGCTGGCCCGGGCGACTGCGGCTGCAGCTACAGAGCAGCGGCGGACAGCGGCGCCTAGCATGACGGCGATGGCGGCGCACAGGTTAAGGCTGAAGAGAAGCCGGGTGTGAGCCCACGACCGCTCGGGAGCTCGTGGGGGCCGGACTCACGCACCGACGCACGGTGGGCGGAGCATGAGGGCCCGCCCACTGCGGCGCTCGCGCCTTGGCGGAAAGAGGACCTCACGCAGCCACCGGCGGGCTACGGCGGCGCGCTGAGGACAAACTATTTCGGCGCCGCTTCCCCACGGTTCTCGGGTCCCTTGAACTGCAGCGGCCATTGTGGAGCAAGGAATAGAAGGAAGGGGAAGAGCCGTCAGTAGACAGTAGCGCGGTTCAGATCCGGCTCGGGAGACGACTCCTGCACCTCAACATGCGAAAATAACAATACAAATTATAATTTTAAAAATACCTTCTTTGCTCTTTCCTTCCCAGGTTTGAGCCTAAAATAAGAGAGTGGGACGGAACGACTGCCTTCGTATAAAGGACCTTGTTAGTAACTATTCTTATACCAGAAACCCTCTAGCATTCGGAGTCCAATCACTTGACTTTACAGAGAACAAATGGGCTCTGAAATTAGATTGCTTGCCTGCAATCGAGGCTCTTTTCACTGAATTCCCAGTTCCAGCACTCACCTGGACATTTCTGGTGACATACCCTCCCTCCTCCAATCCCTACAGGAGGGGGGTTGTTTAAGTAACAAGATTTTTTTGAGGAGGGGGTTCTTTTCGTCTTAGGTGTGACACGTGGGGTCTTCCGTTTTCTCATGCAGGATCTTTTGGTGGCTGGGGAGAGGACGTTCTAGTGGCACTCCAGTCTCTAGGGTTCGTGGGTTCAGTAGTTGTGGCCGCTAGGGACTTAGTTGCTCTATAGCATGTGGTATCTTAGCTCCCCAACCAAGGATTGAACCCGCATCTTCTGCAAGGCGGATTCTTAACCACTGGGCCATCAGGGAAGTCCCCAGTGCCAAGACATTTAACATCTAATTTGGCCTCATTAACTGCATTCTGACCTTAGGTTCCTCAGCAGTGGGACCACTTTCCCCAGGCCTGAAGTACCTAGCTGCCATGCAATGTTAATGAGACAAGTCTCTTGTCTTGTTATCCCTCATTCTCTATCCCTGGAACTACTGAGGAAAGAAAAGATGGGGATTCAGGCTTTGCTTCCTGACTCCAGGCCCTGTCTCTAGGGTTTCAGCAGATAACCCTTTTCTGCTTCCTCCCTAGCAGTATGGCTTTAAGGGTATGACTCTGGCTAGGAAGATGATAAAGAAAAAAGCTTTTTCGAAAGCACTGTCCTCATTTTCTCCCACCAAAATATTGAAAAGACACATGGGGAAGATATCACCTCTTTGATTTCAATTAATATTCATTAAATTTCCAAGCACTGGAAGCCCAGGAGACGGCAGGGCTCTCATGATTAAGAAAGCACTGGAAGGGACTTCCCTCTTGGTCCAATGGTTAAGAATCTGCTTGCTGATTCAGGGGACATGGGTTTGATCCCTCCTCTGGGAAGATCCCACATGCTGAGGAGCAACTAAGCCCGTGGGCCACTACTGCTGGGACCCCAGTGCCTAGATCCAGCCCTCTGCAGCAAGAGAAGCCACTGCAGTGAGAAGCTCAGTCGCCGCAAGGAAGAATAGCCCCCATTTGCCTCAACTAGAGGAAGCTGGTGGGTGACAATGAGGACCCAGGGCAGGCAAAAATGTAAATAAATAAATATATTTTAAAAATAAAAAGGACTGGAAAAAAAATAAAAAAAAAAATAAAAAGGACTGGAAAAAGAATCTAGAAAGAAGTGGATATATGTATATGTGTGACTGATTCACTTTGCTGTGCAGCGGAAGTTAACACAACATTGTAAATCAACTATAATCCAATTCAAATTAAAAAAAAAAAAGATAAAAGCTTGAGAAGGAGAGAAAGCAACGAGTTGGGAGTTCCCTGGCAGTCCAGTGGTTAAGATTTAGTGCTTTCACTGCTGTGGCCTGGGTTCAGTCCCTGGTCAGGGAATTTAGATCCCTCAAGCCTTGCTCGGCTAAACAAAAAGAAAAAGTGCTGGCTATATGGCACTTGAATCCCAATTCCAAATTGTAAGGTACTGTACTTGTCTTTGCCTGCAGTGCCTTAGATTGGCTACTGCGATATTGTATGTTTTCATTGTTGTTTTCAAAAACAGTTATGATCATAATTAATTTTGTGCCCCTGCAAGCTACAAACTATTTATTATCCCATCTAAGCCTCATAATAGTGTTGTGAGGTGAGTATTTACCGCTATTTTATGGATGAAGGAATAGACTCAAAGGACACTTGCCTAAGAATCATACAACTGATAAATATTAAGAATACTGCTTACATTTGAGCCCAGGTTTGTCTGACTGCAGAAATTTTCTTTCCCCACTCCCTGTAAAGGTAGACTTTTCTGGCTTCTCAGCAAATTCTGAACCCCCTGCTAACTTGAGGGCAGTTCTAAGTCCTTATTACCTGTATTAGTTGTTGTTTTGGTTGTGCTGGATCTTCATTGCTGTGTGTGGGCTTTCTCTCGTTGTGGTGAGCAGAGTCTATCCTGCGTTGTGGTGCACAGGTTTCTCATTGTGGTGAGTTCTCTTGCTGTGGAGCACAGGCTCTCGGGCACATGGACTTCAGTAGTTGTGGCACCAGGGCTCAATGGGCTTTAGTTACCCAAGGTATGTGGAATCTTCCCAGACCAGGGATCGAACTTTTGTCCCCTGAACTGGCAGGCAGATTCCCATCCACTGTACCACCAGGGAAGTCCCTGTGTTATCTTTATTATTGCTGAATGATAATTAACCACAAACTAAGTTTAAAACAATACCCATTTATTATTTCTCTTTTCTGTAGGTCAGTTATGCCTTCATAGCATAACTGATTTTTCTTCTCAGGGTCGTACAAGACTGAAATCAAGATGTCAGCCAGGTCTGCGGTCTCACTTGAAGCTCAGAGTCCTCTTCCAGGCTTGTTTAGGTTGTTGGCAGAATTCAGTTCCTTGCAGTTGTAGGACCAAGTCCCCATTTTTTCCTTGCTGTCAGCCGAGGATCACCCTCAGCTCCTAGAGGCCACCCTTAGGGCCTTACCACATGGATCCTCTCTAGGTCCCCTCACAGTACCACCATTTATTTCTTCAAACCAACAGGAAAGTATCTCTGACACTTCACCCTCCTTTAAAGGCTTCATCTGATTAGGCTTCAGGCACATCCAGCATAATCTCTTTTGATTAACTCAAAGTAAATGGATTAGTACTAATCTTGGAATGATATCACATCACTTTCACAAATTCAGCCCTGTTTATACAAGGCATGTACACTAGGGGACATGAGCCCTGGGGGCCATCTTTGAATTCAGCCTATTACTTCACTTCGGTCAGGAAGCCCCTGCTTATTCCCAAATTCTTCTCCAGCTGTGCCCCTGCAGCCCATTCTGTCTACTTCCTCTGGGATGGGTTTAGACCAGACATCTTGGTTCCTGCCCAAGGCTGTCAGGGTCTTTTGACTCTATCATCTTTGGCCCCGAAACCCTTTGCTATCCCAATGGAGAAGCAGCAGCTGGGCTTAGATACTTCAGGGATGTCATCATCACCAGTTGATCAGCCTATCAGCTTCCTGCTACAGCAGTCTTCCTTCTGAAAGAGTTGTGATGAGGCATTTCCTCTGATGTGTGCAGAGGGGAGGGATTATTGAGGAGCTTGTATGGACACAGACATTCTAGTAAAGTGAAGTTCACATGCAAGAAAAGTTCTTATCTTCTCTGGTGGGAATTAAGCATGCTTTGAGAAAAAAAAAAAAAAAGAATCCTGTCATTTCAAGGCTGGAAATGGCCTTGTGGCCCTTAGTCTGACTGACCCTATGTTGCTTCCATTTCCAAGTCCCCACTTGGGCACTTCTAGTGATGGGGATCCCAATACGAGCCTGCTTCGGAAAAGGAGATAAATATGAGAGGGCGCCTGAGAGAATGACATTCTTGCTACTGTTAAATTACAGCTCTGCTGCAGGGCCTTAGGCAAGGTATTCCAATTTCCTGAACCACAGTTAATTCATCTATATAATGATAATAATGATGGAACCTACTAATTCATTATTGGGAAAATTAGATAACCTAGTGCATGTAAAATACTAGGTCCTGCCTGGACGTATCTCAATAAATAGAACTCAATAAATGGTGAGTGTTGCATTTTTCTGTTGTAAATTGTAGAAAGTTCTTTTCCCAGGGCGTGGCAGGTTGTGAGACTAGGGACAAGGCTTGGAGGTGGAGTGGATAAACATACCACATGGATCACCTGGGAATCAGGGAGAAAAGGTGGCAGCAGGAGGTAGCATTCAAAGGTGATCTTGCTGGGGGCCACCATCCAATACGAGTGCATGCATGAATGCTCAGTCACTTCAGTAGTGTCCAACTCTTTGCAACCCCATGGACTGCAGGCCGCCAGGCTCCTCTATACAAGGGATTCTCTGGAAAAGAACACTGGAGTGGATTGCCATGCCCTCCTCCAGAAGAATCCTCCCAATCCAGGGATCGAACCCTTATCTCTTATGTCTCTTGCATTAGCAGGTGGGTTCTTTCCACTAGTGCCACCTAGGAAGCCCGTTGACTATAGGTAGGAGAGTTCTAATAGTACTTTTTCATAATAATTAATACTTATTATGTAATTTCCTAAGTTATTACTTTTATGATCATAACATCAGTAAAGAATATAATTTTTGATTGAAATAGAATTCACAAACCAGAAAATTCATCCTTTTAAAGTCTATAATTCAGTGTTCTTTTATTTGCTATGTTGTATAAGCATTATCATTATCTAGTTCCAGAACGTTTTCATCATCCCTAAGAGAAACTCCATACCCAGTGGCTCAGACGGTAAAGAATCTGCCTGCAATGCGGGAGACCTGGATTCGATCTCTGGATTGAGAAGATGCGCTGAGACGGAACGGCTACCCACTCCAGTATTCTTGTCTGGAGAATCACATGGACAGAGGAGGCTGGAGGGCTACAGTCCATGGCGTCGCAAAGAGTCAGGCACAACTGAGCAACTTTCTTGCACTTAATACAATGTTTACAAGATTCATCCATATTGTAATCAGTTCTTCATT